GCAGCAACTTTGGTCTCTTTCCCACATTAGGGTTTTATCCAAAATATTTACCCCCTAAGTTTAATGGCGTGAAAATATATAGCCTAAAACGTAAGTGGAGGGCCTTTTATTAAAAAAGAATTATTCAAAAATATGCTGTAACTGCTGACATCTTAGATAACAAAGAAGTGTGTGTTTACGCTTTATTATATTAGTATAGATACTATCATGCAATTTTTTGTTGTCTACGAATAAAAATGTATGTAAATGATATAATAATAAAAGCTAGCTTGAAATTGGAGAATACATAAATGTGAAGTTACCTAAATTAAAATAATACAAGTATCAAAATGGGTTGTGCATCGTACATAACTCTTAACGCCAAGGCACTAAAGGCATTGTTCGGAGCGCAAATGAAAACTTGAAATGTCAACAATATAATCCGTACGTCGTACTTTGAACTGTTTTATATATTATTTAATTGTAACATAACAATATGTAACAATGTAACTATATATTACATACGAATTTATATTACAATGTTATGTCTTGAGAATTAATTCAAGATGACACAAAAGGATGAAGAATGGAAGAATTAGCGTGAGTTAGTTGGTAACATTTTATTTTATCTGCGAACCTGGTACCCACGTTAATATTACATCGAAATATTATAAAAAATAATTAAAACATGTGTTAAGTAATTACCCGCATGTATTTTTAATTTAAATTACAATGTAACTGTCTATAGTATAGACGTAAACTTTAGTCATCTCTGTCATTTTCTATGAATTAAACAGAGATAACTGTCTAAGAATGTCTGTAGTTGCGATTGTTGCTAATTAAAAAAAATAATCATCAACTTCCTTGTCTCTCTTTAGGGTTGGCACAGTATGCTCTTTGCATTTCTATCAGCTGTCAACTGAATCGACCTCCTTTCACACAATCCATATTTTATTCGGTCTTCCTCTACCTTTATGCCTCCATCCTCTCATCGGATGACATATCCATAAGATTTAAAAAACGAAACTAATAAAAAAATATTTCGTCTAAAATATAAGGTTGCTATTTTTTAGCTTTTTTGTAATTTTTTAAATTGTTTTTTCTAGGTCTGCTCAGAGAGCAGTGCAAGTGAATCTTCTTTAGAGTCTTCTAGTGGTTACGGCAGCCAGGGGGCGTTTGCTGGCGAGGACCACGCCCTTCAGCACCAAATACAACACCCTGATGGTAATTTTTTCATACTTTGGACATTTATTGTAGGTTAGTTTGTATTTTTTTGTGTGTGAATGTGTGAGCTATGCACTTATGTGTTGAGCTTTTGAATTTTTCTGTTTTACTATTTTAAAAAAAAGCATAGAGTTTGGAAAATTATATTTTTTGTTGTTATTTAATTTTTTAGCCTTTTTAGAATGACACAGAATTATTATTTGCTGATTTTATTTAGTTTGTCACAATGAAATAAACCACATTTTTCTAGTTCTGTAACATTTTAATAAAATATTATAATTAGTGAGAGTAATTTTTTGAAACGGGTTTATAGCATTGTGACATTTTTTGTGTATTTTTTTTGTTTTATGCAACATCCTGTAGTTTTAATGCATGCATGCGATATCCCGCTATCCGCACAGTTGATTCCGAGATAGTAACGTTGCGACGCGACAACGAGGTAGCGGCAGCGAGAGAGAACTTCTCTATATCCCTGGGTAGTCTGGAGGAGGCAGTACGCTCCCTAGATGAGGTCAATGACACCCCGACATTTGCCACCGTCAGCAAGAAACCAGCCGTGCCCAAACGCAGGCCGGTTTCTATGGCAGGTTTGTGGTTTTTTTTAAGTTTTGACAATTTTTTGGAGGTGAGTTTTTTTTAGTTTTTTGTGTTTTTTAAACTTTGTCTATTTTGTAAATGAGAATGATGTATATTTTGTTATGATATGTAACTTAAAATTAGCAAATTAATGTTTAATATGAGAATAATTTAAAAACCGCGTAATTCCTGCAAATATATATTTTTTTTACTTCATTAAAGACATATGTTACTTACCCTTAGTGGGGACCTATAGTGGCGATATTTATGTATATTGTAATTTTTTTTTGATATGTGTAGCTGCGGTGTGGTCGCGCCGAGGCTCGTCCAGTTCGTTGGGGAAGCCTCCGCCCCCAGTACGGCGCTCCTCCTCGATATCTCGCCCGCAACGTCCTTACGTACAGGTCTATTTTTAATTTTACTATTTTCGTGCTTATCCTAATTATAACTATACTAGCTTTTGCTCGCGAGTCCGTCCGCGTGGTATCAATAGACAAAACCAAGTA